GTTGCAGCGGCTGCTTTCTCCGAAATTTCGGTCATGGCGATGATGTGGTTATTGAAGAACCAGACCGTAACAGTGGTCAAGAAGAATAGGTGTACAGCAAGTTATTGGCGGGGTGAAAAAAACACCCTTGGATGAAAAGGAAACACCAGTGGGTGTTGAGTTGATATGGTTGTCGTCGAGATTAGCGAATCATGCGTATTGAGCGTTCATCTATTTTCGTATAGAGAGTCGAAGTCGAATGCGCTGCAGCACGGGCAACGATGAGGCCCCAGGTGAGCAGTCTCCTTGTCAGTACGGACTGGGTTGGTGATAAACAGTGTGCGAAGGGTCTGGTTTATTTCTCGATCGAGAACACAAGAAAATGCGACTCGAGATGGATGAATGGACAATTTATTTAAATAACTGAGCTTGGGCAACACATCCACACACCCCTCGCTCCATCTGTTGGACTGGCTTAGCGTACCTCTGGACCAGGCGACTTTTTTGTGTCCCGGAGATCGATGATTACGCTTCGTTTCCCTTTTCAGCTTAACGAATGTCTGATCCGCTAACCATTCATTGGCGACTCCAGTATGGGGTTCTTGCAGATTGGGGCCTGGGGGGGAGAGCATCCTTGGGTGAAGAATGTTCCATTGTCACTTGTCACTCATGCTCAGGCGTATTCAGGACCCCGTAAGCCGGTCCAGTACAGGGATCTCTGATCTGTGTGTGATCTCAGCATCCAATGTCTTGGGAGTCAGAGAACCCCGTTGCGATGGAGACTGTACAATCCTCCCGGTCAAAAAGCTGCATATGTACCGATGGTTTGAGTCATCTCACCGCGTATCTTGTCTCTGGTTGCCTGTCTCTGACCATCTTGGAATCATTGGATCTGCCCTCGGACTCCCGCAGTAGTCCGACAACCCGTGGTGGGTAATCCTACGGAGCGAAAATGCATCCAATGCTTACCTTACTCAAGGTCTTCTTCAACTCGGTTAGGTTGAAAAGGAATGACAAGGGATTAGGTCTTTCGCATCTGGAAGCTATCAGTATGGGAATAATAACTATAATTATATGAACTGTATATTGCTCTACGTTCTGATTCTTTTGATGGATATTTCCAAAGCAAGGAATGCCTTATTTTTGACTCGATTATTGTTCTATAAAATATCTAAACAAACATACTTCGTCGTCTATCTGAGTTAGGTACTGTACATAACTCTCGACCCCACATTCATATCAGATTATTCGTTACAGAGAGCGGTTAGGCGGCCGAGCTTCTGTGGAGCGTTTCTGCGCCGTCGAAACGGTTGCTGCTTTCGGACAGCGCCGGGCTCGCTTCAATCTGCCACTATCGGTTCACTTTTATTACCTGCAGTCTTCGGAGCTTTTATTATAAGGGACAGTTGAGAACCGGAGCCGGGTAAATAATAAGCACGGGACTTCGGCACGCCTCGTAGTCACAATTATTAGGCAAATGTTATTGCATATGTTATCCAACAATAGTCCCACAAGCGAGCTTCAGGTTGCCATACATAAGTAGGTAGTCAGTGAGCACGAGCAACAGGTTCCAGAGTTATCTTGAATGTCCCAGCGCCGTATTACAGGGGGCAAGCATTGCAATGCACAAGCCGTTGTGCATCAGATTCATGTCACCTCGATGAGGTATTGAGGTTCGAGTATGGTAGCACTTTGGTACACAGATGGATCTATGCTGCACAATAATAATGAGAAGAGCAGTAACAATCACGTTTAATAGCGATTGTGGTCTTCAGAAGCGTCGGGTAAAGTTACAACATTGCAGAATGATGATCATCGGGGGTCGGTGAGTTATTGATGCCGGTTCCCGACTGTCAGCATAGAATGAGGGCTAGGAGGTAATCGGGAGCTCCCGAGTCCGAATCCTTGCTAAATCCGATAAATTCTAGATTGCGTGGCTGGTTATGATGACGGGGCATGACCAACAGCTTCGCAATTCTCGCATTCGCAAAGATGAGTGGCTGCAACTCGGTATTGCTCATCATCTATAGAATAACCTCCTGTTGAAAGAACAGATACTGTGGAACGTGGGAAGCTGCTCGGGCAGTCCCCTTATTCTTTAAAGTAAATTCCCAAGTCACCAAATCATTGTCGGTTTTTGTAATGTCACTCCTCAATGCTGATCATCTAGGAGGCCGAGTTGTTAATAATTATTTTGCACGAGGGTATTTAAAACCTCCACGTCGCGCGCAAGGCTAACATTAGAGCGAAGGATCTTGTACTCTAGGCCATGTGCTATCAGCATCCTTACTCGGGGGCTTATGCCAGCACGATACACCCTGCTGCCACTTTTGTCAGTTGAGCTATTTCTAAACTTGACTTTAATTAATGAATGTTTCGGATTGACTTGAACACAATGACGGGTGCATTCGAATTGGCCCCATAGCGTTCTATCGAGTATCTTGAGGGGTACTCATGTGGGACAAAGCATGACATGCTTCCATGTATTGCGCTATAACTGTCAGGTTGATCACAACTGTACTCCGTAGATGAAACAAGAAAATTAAAGGCTTCAACCCTAAATAAGAAGAATATTTAGGTAAAATATCGTAGAGTTAGGGGAGCCTTTGGTAAGTTTATCTTGGGCATCCTCTATATCTAAGCTTAAGATCTGAGGTTTTCTGGCTTCCCAGGGCATATGAATAATATTTTTTGTAACGCCTGAGAACGCCTACATAGGTAAGTTCAGTTAAGGTTCTACAGTTTCGCATTAAAGGATCGTTTCATGGTCATGGGGCGATAAACGAGGATGCTCCCTGTTAGGATCGCATCTACCCTGGAGGCCCTGGAGCTGACTATATGTAAAGTAGTTTCTTAAAGAGCGCTATATACTAGGAGTATACATTAGTTCGGCGAAGCTGTTACAGTAAAGGAGTAAATAATGATTTAATTCTAAGATTTTTAAAACAAGATACAAAACTGAGGTCATAATGCTGTAAAACTTGAACAATTATCTTAATACATATCTGTTGAGGTTTGAAATTTACATTATATAGACCGTGGTTACGAACACAGAACAGCATCACGATATGGGTGACTTTTTAGGTAAGGAGAGGTATGGATTTTGTGCTTTATTACTACGTAGAACGCAATAGAAAACGCATTACTACTAGTTCTGCTATTTTACTCGACACTACTTTTATGTTGCTATATCCGAAGTCGCTCGAACGAAAGGCTAACGTGAGGCTTTGCTCTATGACAAATTGGATGTCATGATGGCGACCTTGGAATTTCATAGTTAGCGAAATGACCGAGTACACTGAACTCGCGAAAACGAAGCTGTATTGGTATGACGGGCGGCCAGGGCTCTCTACGGCTGTCAACAACAAATCTTGCCATCTTTGCCCTCATGACTGCTACTTCAAGCCTTAGGCAACAATCGTCTACACGTCTTTTCATTGGATGCTACCACAGACTCTGAACAAATCATCAGAGCTTACTGCAGGTCGCCACATCATCCCATTCAAGCCCAGCTTTAGACTTCTTATCGCCACGGCACGTGTTCAACTTAACACGTCTACTTCCTGTCCAAGATCAAAACTAAACTCCTATCACTTCCAAAACCTCACCATCGTCTCCATATCAGAATCTCACGAGAAGCATACGGGCACATATTCGATTCTTTAGTGTCATAGCCCCCAAAACACCATGATACCTGGCTCTCTCGCCTGGCTACTTGCACTGCCGGCCTTTGCGCTAGCCGCCCGCCCCAAGGATGCCATCAAGCTTTCCGATGTGCGATCTCTCACCCTCCGCGGTAATGGAGCCATGACGAATCATCGCCGTGTTGGCGCCATCCCCCAGTTGCGCTGTGTCTCCAAGAAGGCGCTCTGTGAACTTTACGACGTTGATGTGATGCGCTGCACCAATGAAGGCTCCGGCTGGGGTGATGAGGATATCCAATGGAGCTGTACTGCTTCACTTCCAGAAGAGCTCAAGCTTGTCACTACGGAAGTAATCTGTGAGGGTTACAACTCTCCCGACGACCCCTATGTTCTAAAGGGTAGTTGCGGCGTCGAATACAGAGTCGCCTTGACAAGGAAGGGCGAACGCCGTTATCCAAATATCGCCAACGGAGGATGGTTTAATGACGGCAGAGGTGGTACTGACTGGGGGGCTCTACTCTTCACGATTCTTTTTTTCTCTATTCTCGGCTGGATCCTTGTCTCAGCGTGTTACAGAGCACAAGAGGCTGGCAGCAACTCCAACCGACCACGACGCCGTCGCGACGGATGGTCACCTGGAGGATGGGGCCCGGGATGGGGTCCCGACGGCGATGACCCTCCACCTCCATATCCCGGTTCTAAGCCTTCTTCGCAATCTGACACCTGGAGACCTGGGTTCTGGAGTGGTGCCGCAGGAGGAGCCGCAGCAGGATATTGGGCTGGTAGCCGTAATCAGCAAAACCATCATAATCACCACAACGATGGGTATGGCAGCATCGGACGTGGAGGTTCTGGATGGGGTGGTCGTTCTGGATCGTCATCTGGATCCAACAATTCAAATCGTCATGAGAGCACTGGTTTCGGTTCTACCAGTCGTCGATAGATAACTATCCCACTAGAGACATGTAACAGAGTTACAAATTTTGACGCATTCCATTTATCCTGCTATTCCATACACTGACTCAGAATCTCCCCAACCCCCGACCCCCTCCTTTCTTTACAAAGAGTATATACATGCATGCAGCGGCTCGTCAAGTGTTCCGCTGAGTGGTTTAGAAATACATGGATGACTTTCCAAGAGTAGCCATCTAGCCCAGAGAAGGAAACCGTCAAGATGCGCTGTCCAGATCATAGTGGCCCAACATAGTCCGGTGAATGTGGACATAAACAGCCACCCCCAAATGGTTGAAGGTATAGGATGGATGCTCAATGCTTGACGTAAGCAATTAAAGAAGTAGAAAAAGAGGTATCGCATATATAAGAAACAGAAGTAAGATGCAAGATAGGTTGTTTCCATTGCGCTCTCGGTGCGTTCGTTCAATGATGGACGGGCATAACGTCCATCTTGTCAAATGCTCGGGAACATGTAGGACATTTTCGCATGCGGTTGCTGATGCGATCATCCACACATTGGTTGCAGAATAAATGGCCACACGTCTTCAACGCCGTATTCTTGAAATTGATACGACAAATAGTGCATAGAGCGAACGTCTGAAAGCGCGTTAGGTTAGTTCAAAACAACAGGCTCCTTTTCTTGGATCACTCACCCGTAACATTTCCTCTTCTTCAGACGCATTGCTCAATGCCTTATTCTTCCAGTTGTCGCGATCTTTCTGTGTATGCTCGAGGCGTACCTTCATCTTCTCCACCTCAGTCTCTTGCATAGTATTGCGCTCACGAACCACAGCAGAAGCCGCATCTTTAGACTTGACCAGGTTTGTCAGATCAGCAACTTGCTTGTTCAGAGACTCAGTACGGCGGAGAGCATCGAGGCTTGCTGTTTCCATCTTCTTGTTCTCTGTCATCAGGGCTGCATTTGCTTGTTTGAAATCCGTCAACTGTTTATCCAAATTACCCAGGAGGGTCCGGTTCTGCGATTCGAGGTCCTTCAGCTGGGCGATGATTTCCGAGCTCTTGCTGTTCTGGTGCCGTAATGATCGAATCTCGTTGTTGCGAGTGTCTGCATCCTTTCGCGCGGCAAAGTATTTCTGGTCAGCTTTACTCTTCTCTGCAATTAGTATTGCCATGCGTTCCTCTACAGCACTGGTATCCATCGCTTTCTTTTGAGCAATTTGAATTATTTTCTTGTATGCCTTTTCCATAGCCGGGAATTCAGTGTTGATAGAGTTGAAATCTCGCTCCAATTTTGTGTATTGCAGACGAAGTTCATCAATTGTCAATGCCTCGATATCCGGGCGAATAGCTTGCTGGTCCTCGCTTGGTTGAAGGCGTGAAAGTTTTGCTTCCAAAGCCGTAATTCTGTCCTCTTTGGCAGACGCCAGAGCCTTGACTTGATCGATTGATGCCCGGTCCTGTTCTAATCTTGCCTTATGCTGCGTAGTTTCCGCCAGCAATTCATCGCGCGCCGATCGCACTCGGGCAAGATCTTGATCTCTGGAAATGATCTCCGCTTCAAGTTCTTGTGTCACCTGATTCGCGTCTGCTTCAAGCTGGGTTCTGAACATCGATCGCTCTGCTTGTAGTTTTTCGGCTTCTTCCCGTAGCTGTTTGTTTGTAGCTTCGAGGGTGTTGATACGTTTGATGAGATCCTCGTTCTGGTTTTTGAACTGTTTGAAAACGTCGGTCCGAATGAAGTCTTCATCGGTTAAGGTCTCTCTCTTCGCTTTAAGAGTCGAGTTCTCGTCCTGAAGGGTCTTGATTTCAGCCAAAATGACATCGAGTTGTTCCTTTTGCTTGGTAGCAGCTGCAGTTGCCTCTTCATACTTGAGCAACAGTTCACCCGCATTGCCATTTGTTTCATCGGCCTCAGCACTCCCATCGCCAGATGCAGAAGGGCGGGTGGCATTAGCAAATGCTTGTTGTTCGAGCTTCTGCACCTGAAAGCTTTTGGCACGGTCTAGTTTCTTCTCCGCTTTGAAGTACCGCAAAGTCGCAGCATTCAGTTGTTCAGAGAGCTGGTCCTTTTCACTCTTCAAACGGTCCAATTTGAACAAGTATTCCTTTTGAGTTGCCAGCAGACTTGCAACCTTATTCTCCAGCACAGCAGCGTCGGGGTCAATCTTGCCTCGCGAAGAGGCCAATCGTCCGAGGAGTGCCTCGGCTCTGGATTTGATCGTTTTGCCTTTGTCGGATAGATGTTTCTGGAATTCATGAAGATCCTTGAAAGTCACGCCACTCAGATATGGAGGATCTGCGAATAGGGTTAGAAAAAGCACGGCTGACAAAATAGAACAAAGGACCTCATACCGGATGGTGTTGTAGAAGTGATCTCCGAGTCTGAAAGAAGCTCCATTTCCTCAAGCACCTGTTTCTTTGTTTAGCTATACCACAGATAGTGGGGACTGGAGAAGGGTGGGACAAACCTGTCGCCACCAAGCATCGATAAGTCTCAAGTGGTCGTCGTGATGGACAGATCTTTTGTGAAGTTCCTCGAGGCGCGACTCGTACGTAGAAGCCTTTCGACTATATTCTTGCATCTGCCGGTAGATGGCGCCCTTTGTGTAGGCCTGATGATTGGGTCAGCGACATTTCCACCTCCATACGTCGAGCAAGTTGCGTGATGTTTTCTTGGGTTGTGCGGAGGCGCTTCTCATTGGGGTGCATGACGAATGCACTTCCGAGCCGACTGTTGCGCTGTCGCAAGAAGCAGGCGAGCATCATCACTGGCTTGGTGAGCAATGCCGTCCAGGACCATCCCAACAGAATGGCACGAAGCCGGAAACAGAAGTCTGCATGATAGGCAAAGTGCGGGGGGGAACATATGGTCGAATACTCAAGCGTTGGCAATAGGAGATGTCGTCGTGTGACTTACCTCAATCCAACTCTCCTCCTTCATGTCGGAAGAGTCATCTTTAGCCTTGGAGCCATTGACAGCAACTCGCTTGCTCGGAGGGGCTATTTCATCGGCACTGCTAATAGCAGGCCGTTTCCTATCCTCCATCTTTGAGACAGTGGATGGGCGAGGGGAAGCAGAGGGCGTGGTTGTGAGAGGCATCAGAAGTCGCGTGGCATAGGGCAAAAAGGCGGACGCGTTCCCAAAGAAAAGCGACGGGTCGGTCGTGCGAGCGCTTTCAAGCCAATTCCCGTGGCGAGCAAAGGCGTGCGAGCGATCATCAAGTGATGGCGCGGGGAAGTGTGTTATGATGATGGAACGTTTCTTCGGGTAAGGAGTTTGAAATTTCGAAGTTGAGTAGTCGCAGAGCAAGAAGCGCGGCGTCTCCACCTCAAAGGGGATTAGTATCAGTCTAACTTGGTTCGGAAAGTGGAGCTCTTCTTATCGATTTGCATGGGCGGATAATTCTCGCCCACTGCATCTCCACCATCCCGCATTTTATTTTCTCTGCCTTTTTCTAGGCTGCTTGCTACGAGTACTTTTTAGTTTCTGAATCGTTCTCTTGTCGCAATTCGTTCGGAAATGTCAACACAGATTAAATATCGGATATCGCATACATTACATGCATGATTAGACGCTTGCGCAATGAGTTCCATTTTCAAAAAGAAAGGAGGGCCTGCCTTCAAACCCAAGATCCCCGCCGCTCGACGCCCCGCGGCACCAGTACCCTCTCAACCTCTCAAAGCACCACCGACTGCTTCTCTTCCACCCAACTTAACGGATTCAGAAGCCCAGGATGTGCCCCGTCAATCTTTAGAAACACCATCGGCGAAGGAACCCGTGAGATCACCGATTGAATCGCAGATGCAAGATTCTCGTGAACTTGGTCGCCAATCTTCTACCCCACCATCGACAATCCAAGAGCCTGCAAAGCCGGACGAACATGCTGCAACTGAAGGGTCTGCCCAAGAAAAGTCTCCAGAAGAAAAGCAAATTGAACTTTCGAACCAAAATACCGAGCGCAACCCTGAAACAATCGGAGTGCCCACCACGGCTGCCCAAGCGACAACCTCGAGCGAGCAAGAACAAAGTCAACAGCCTCCTGCGCAGTATAATGAGATTCACTCAAGTATTACCGATGATGTTCCGTCTCCTGTTTTGCAAACACCAACTCCAGATGACTCGGAAGGCCCAAGTGGAACTGATAATTCAAATACACCATCTCTACCCGCTACTGACTTGAATGATACACCCGAAGAGACCTCAGGAGAACCGCAGAATGTACCCAAATCAACGCGTAGACCACGAACCAGGAAGCAGGTTAACCAGGCACCCCTGGATGAGGCTGAGAAAGAGGGAGGCTCCAAAACGAAGAAACGTCAGAGGAAAACCGATGAACAAGGCACGGCATCCAGACAGCCCAGAAAACGCAGGACAACACAGAGCGGTACAAGTACACCTAAAAACAGACGTGCGCGCTCAGTTACGCCAGAAGATTCAGAATCTCAACTGGTGGACTTACAGAAGCTTAAGATGGCTGATTTAACCAAGGATCTTCACATTGGAAAGAAATTCAGCAGACATGATGAGCTACGAGAACGAGAGAGGCGGGCGAGAATGAAGATCAAACTCGGAGTTGACGGCGAACGTGATAGCTCAGCAACCCCCGAAGACGGTGGCCAAGGAGGGAAGCTTGGAAGCCCCGCTGCATCCTCGCCAGCTCCTTCAGTTTCAGCTCCGGTTGCACCTTCAGGACCTCAATTCCGTATTGTTGATGGGCAGATCGTGATCGACCAAAGCTCGTTGGCTGTGGACAGACATGCTCGAGCAGCCGCTGCAGCTGGAGACATGGAAACAGTCGAAGAAAACGACTTCACGCGCCTCATCACCAGTAACTCATTCATGAACACCTCCAAACTTAAGGGTCCCAATATCTGGACCGACGCAGAGACAGAACTCTTCTATCGCGGTCTGCGTATGCTCGGTACGGACTTTGAAATGATTTCCAAAATGTTCCCGGGCAAGCAGCGGCGTCATGTCAAACTCAAATTCAATCGTGAGGAGCGCCACTGCCCACAACGCGTCAACGCTGCTCTCATCGGCGAGAAGACGGTAAAGATCGATCTCGAAGAGTATAAGGCTTTCACCGGTAGTGAGTTTGAGCCAGTGGCAGACATCGAGGCTGAACAACGCAAGATCCAGGAAGAATATGAGGCCGAGGAGAAACGCCGAGCTGACGAGCAGGCCGAGATCATGCGCAAGAGACGTGAGGAGCTGTTCAAGGACGACGACGAAGGTGACGCGAAGAAAAAGAAGAGGAAAAAGAAGCAGGCAGTAACCTACGGGCTAAACGGTGAACCCATTGCTCAAGAGGCTTGAGCTGGGAGAGGACATAAATCAGGCCGAAATCAGGATCAAGAGTACGTCCAAAATCGGGGACATGATTCGGGCGGCGTAACGGGGACAGGCATGATACCCATAGGGTTTTTTATTTGCTCACGAATGAAAGAAAGGGTTGCACGGAATCAGCTTCGAGAGCAGTCTCTACAGAACAATAATTCTCCTAGGGCAAGGTACACAATGTGAAATCTTAAACCTGCTTAATAAATATACCATCATGATAAGTGACGCCTGTCTCTCGTCTCAACAGATTGGAGCTTCGTACCTTCAACGGTCGTAAACATAGGACCGTGGGTCGTGTCAAGTCAAAGCTGGCGATCCAAAAATAGGGGTAGCAGGGTCACCAAGAGTACTGGCAATTATATGCAGACTTGCGGGATTCGAAAACAGGAGTAGTGATCAGACTTCCAAGGGATGATCAGTGACTGGATATAAAAAATCTCAGCAGGACTCTTTCAGCAAGATGTATGAGCTTGACTAGCGGGATTAGGGGTATAGTCATGTTAATAACTAATACTAAGGGGGGCCAGATACTTCTGGCCATGGATCGTACGAGGCCAATGAGTCTCGTGATTATCTCTGTACAAGGGCAACCTAGACGGCAAACTAAAAGGCTGGAAAGCACAGAAAGTAAACAGAAGAAGGAGAAAGAATCTTCTTGTGTGGCCAGAGACATGAGAGTTCCTAGTGCCTGGGACTAGATGTCGATGACTGACTGCGCAACGGCGGCTCCAGAGCGCATCACTCATGCTATAGTACCAAGTGCATAAAACTACCCCCAACAATACTCAAGATATGGAATACCATCTGACACTCATCGGATTGTTTGAATGTTTGACGGAAATGAGTGATACAGCCTGTGAGTTGTGCCATTTCAGAAACGATAGCTGGACAGGTACTTGAGGTTTGAGTTTTGGAAAGATATCCAATCAATGCTTAAAAATATTTTTAGGCTTATAGAACAAACTTAGGATACCCTTTGATCACCGGGCCTAATTTATCCCTCCCCCTCTTGGTGCAGAGGCTCGAATTATTCTGGTATTTAGGCTATGAAGCTTGAGTTGCTATCTTATGAACAGCAGTAAGATTCAGCATAATTCGTATTCTCTGAGTTTGACGTCCCATCATACTATTCAATCAAGGTAATTTCATAGGTAATCACTGAAACACGATACGGTAAGGAAAGAGATAGCTGAACAATCCTCAGTTACCTACCCACCTCACATCAGGTGTTGATTTTCACAATGTAATAAAATGGGAGCTTTCTAAGATCAAAACCACCACTTATGCCGGCTCTATTAGCTAGGACCAATGGCTGCATTCTTTTCATGATCCTCTTCTGTTGTCCTATCCCTGGTCCGTCGCCGTCGCCGTCGCCAGATGATTATTCCACAGAGAATGCCTGGTTTTGTGCCCTCTCCTTCGGTTCATAATCGTAACGCGTATTGTTCTGCACCGCTCATCTGCTCTTAGTTGTTGTTGTTAGGGGCAGGCTCATCGTCCTCCGGTTGGTCAAAGAGGAAGTTAGCAGCCAGTTCTTCGTTCTTGTCGCAGGCAAAATAGGCCTGGATGGCCTGATCTCTATCGAATCCTAGGCGGCACAACTAATGTATGTCAGTGATTCAGTTTCAGGGCCGTATCGAAATAAAAAACTCACCCTCTCGATAGCATCTCGTTCCTCCTCTGTCACCGAAATGGCCTGAGCCCCAGGGGGTAGGGGAGTGTCATCATCAGCATATTCACCGAGAAGCTGGAGAAATTGGTCTGGATTTGTAGCAATCAACTCGGCCAATTGAGGATTGCCGGCTCCGAGCTGCTGGAGAATTGGCTCGAGCATCTGCGGTTGTTGCTGAACAACTTGGCGGAGTTGCTGGAATTGAGCATTGTGTCGCAGAAAGTCGAGGTTACCCAAATCGCCACCTTGTCCAGCTGCTGCTGCAGCCGCTGCGGCAGCCGCCGCCTGGTGCCCTCCACTTCCTCCTCGGCCACCAGAACCTCCACGTTGAGCAGCAAGATCGAACAAATTCACGCCACCCTCATCAGAGGCACCTTGGGCGGAAGCAGCGGGTTGAGCTGGTTGTGAAGCAGGAGCAGCAGAAGCAGCCTCGCGCTGCTGCTGCTCTTGTCGGATATTGTCGGGAATGCCCTAATATAAACCAAGTAAGCAATCGTCGCTCACGACAGCCCGGAATATTCAAGACGAACATTAAGAAGATACTCGACAGCACGGTCAGGGTTGTTGAAGGCAGCGCGCATGGCCGCTTCGATCTGGCTTCTTTCAAAGCCCATGGCCTCCATGTTTGCGATCGCCTCGGTGCGTTGGGATCCCATAGCAAGGCCAGAAGGCTCCTCAGCTTGAGCACCAGTTCCAGCATCCGCAGAGCGCTGAGGAGTAGGTGTCGCGGGGACAGCAGCCTGATGAGACGAAGATTGCGCAGGTGCCGCAGGGGCCGCAGGTGTGTTGGCAACAGCTTGTGCGGGTGTGGCAGGAGGAGCACTGGATTCGGCCGCCTTGGGTTCGGGTTTGGGCTTAGGCTATTGCGAGCTGTCAGTAAGCTCCTACCAAGGAGTCATTATTCCATACCTTATTCACCATGCAGACCACGAAGCCCTTCTCCTCAATGTTGTAGGAGCCAACAGTCTCTTCGTCCTTCAGAATCTTGCCTTGGCATAACGTCAGCGACCATGTAGTGCGACAGAAGAGGTAA